TTTCTTTGTCGCACTATCCGTAAATGGAATGCTCTGCCCGCTCACGTGTTCCCTCCCTCTTACAACCTGGGATCCTTTAAAAGAGGCGTGAAGAAGCAACATGCAGGCCGGCAGGGTGAAGATGGCTGGTGTGGCAGGTAAAACTGCTGTATCAGCTATCGTCACGTCTGGACTTCACCTTCACTTAACATCAGGTGGGGTGGAGTCATTTGTCGGACCTATCTATAAAAAAAAAAAAAAAAAAATTAAAACCTAATAAACCCATTCAAAACACTTAAGTTGGTAAATGTATTACCGCTGAAACCAAATTTCGGATTTAAACTCATTTTTCATGTAGACACTTAGAGTAAATATCCTGTGAGTATCCTGTAATTGGCTTTGACTGTTTGAATTTTACCAGATATTTTAATTTTACTAGATGAAGTAAAAACTAACAAATCTGTCGCTTTGTGCAAAAAAATACATATAATATGTTTGCGTTATATTTGAGGCAAGTAAAAGAGGATAGACCGAATCGATCGACAGGTGACCTTCTAGCGTACGTGAGATCTGAGGTGAGGCTATCAATAAGCGAGGTGAGTCTTTACTATCAGCCTTAACATCGCCAAGGTTTTGATAGGGTCTGGCACATAAGTCTTCTCTCCAAGCTTCCTGGATACGGTCTGCCTACTCAGTTCTGTGCCTGAGTGGCTGACTTCCTGCATGAACGTCAACGGACGGCGACGAATGTAGTTCGCAGTTCATGTCAGTGAATGCCGGTGTTTCTCAGGACTCCGTCCTATCCCCTACACTGTTTTTGCTGCATTCAATGATTTAATTCCTATTGAAAATATTTATTGCTATGCAGACGATAATACAGTGCATGCGGGATATTTTGGATATGCAGCCGCTGGACAGGTAGAAACCAAAGAGAAACGGGAGAATCTTGTCATTGAACTCAATCAAGATTTGGACTGCATTTCGGAATGCGGTTCCAAGCAGTTGGTTAAGTTCATTACCAAGAAAGCCCAGGTCTGTGCTTTCACGGTAAAACTAACGTTTTTTCACGCCTGAGCAACTGTGCTTGTTGTACATGAAGTAAGTACGGTCTTGCGTGGAATATGAGCCCCAGAGGGTTAACCTACCTTCCCCTTTCCTACAGAAATCTATACGTGCTGGCCTACGTTGTAACCGACTAACTGTGAACTACTATTCCCACTATTCCAACGTGAACAAAGAAATTTGGTAACACATTTCTTTATCAGACTATCCGCAAATGGATTACTTTGCCCTCTTACGTGTGTGAAGTAGCAATTCTGCAGGCCGGCAAAATGAGGATAGCTGGTGTGGCAAGTAATACTGCTGTACCAGCTATCTTCGCGTCTAGACTCCTCCGTCACCTAACCTCTGGTGGAGTTATTTGTCGAACCTATTTATAAAAAAAATATCTATAGCAAAGAAAAAAGAACTTGATGATTTGTGCAACAAAGGTGTCATACCTGAAGAGTACCATGGATTATACAGATCTTTGGCTACAAAAACAAGCCAATCTGATCGTTTTCCTTCAGAAACCATTCTGATGACTCATCATGTGAAAGCGAGTCAAGCGCAGATGAATAGTACTGATTTTTTTACACTTATTTAATAAGGAATACTATCGGCCGCCAACGGATTCGTCTGCTTTAACTTTAATATACATTTTTACTCTTTACTCTTATCTGCATTACTGTCCACCGAATCAATTGTCCCCATATCACTGAAATGATATACTTACTATTTGGCGGGAATCCACAATGACGTTGTTGCGCGTGCGTGTGCTCCAGCGAAGGCGGACTGGCTCGAAGTGAGCACTGACAAACGGGACACAACAACGCAATGTAGACGAACCTATTTCACAAAAATGATAACTTTTTCCAAGACAAAAGTTGAGTGCTTGTTACATGTATAAGGAAGAAGGTAAAGAAACAGTAGTAGGTTTTGTTAATAGGCTATATTATATACTAATGATATAAAAGTTAATTTCAATTGAAAAAATAAATGTAACTACAGGGGAAGTAATTTTACGAGAGGAATTGGGTTTCAGACAGGTTCCCGTGATGATAAATGCCACTTCTTATTTTTTTATTTTATGGAATAGAGCCCATTACTCAATAATTCTTTTTGACAAGGTTGAGAAGTACCTACTTAACTAAGAAAAAAAGTCAAAATCATTTATCAGCACATTGCACGGCCGCTCTGAGCAGTGTATTTTTTTTTTGCTTGGGGAGTTCACCTCTACATGATTTATTGGGATTTAATTAATATGTTTCGGGCATTTTTTTTATTACCTTTTTCATATAATAATCTTGACAAAAAAAATGATTTCAATTTTATTATATGATAATGTATAAGAATATGTATTGCATATTGCAAATATATGTTTTAAATGCAAATTTTGCGCTGAACGCGATGAAATAAAAATAAATGTTAAAGTTAAATTGAAATCAATTTTTTTATCAAGTTTATTTTTCGTTATCTTTCTTAGTGGTTATCATTTTAAACCAAATACGCAGAATAGTTCACCCAGTAATGTTTATTAGTGATTAATTAAAAAAAAAACATTGTTGCCCAGCGCGCGATTCAACAATGAATGAATAAAAGTGAGCAACTCACTCCCTAGCGCGCGATCTGTGTACGGAAGAGACGGTTAAACATGGATAGCTGATTTTAGTTGAAGCATGAATTTTAAAGTAACGATGTCTAACGCTAATAAATTGTAGTGGAAGAAAAGAGTAAGCACCGATAATCGATTTTAGCTGAAGTAATTTATAAAGCGTTGAATAAAAGTTATTAAGTAAAAACAAATTGAAATTCGGTATCTTATTCAATTGCCTCAAACATTACGCAAATATACTATATATTTGTTTTTGAAAAAAGCGACTTAGATCTGTTAATTTTTACTTCATCTAGTAAAATTAAAATATCTGGTAAAATTCAAACAGTCAAAGCCAATTACAGGATACTCACAGGATATTTACTCTAAGTGTCTACATGAAAAATGAGTTTAAATCCGAAATTTGGTTTCAGCGGTAATACATTTACCAGCTTAAGTGTTTTGAATGGGTGTATTAGGTTTAATTTAAATCAAGAATTTTGGAAATAATTTGCAGTTATTCTGTTTATTCATTAGCTATTTCAGAAAGTATGCGTCGTAGAGCATAATGGGGTTTACCTGTAGATGCGACTTAATGACACGGGTCGATTGGTATTATAAAAGTTCAGTAGCGGAAAAGTGCAGATAATCGGTTTTGGCACTAAGGGGACGATTTACTAACTAATAAACTTCTCGCTTTCTAAACGCGCTTTGTTTGTTATTTTGAAAATGTACATACGTGTAACAATTAATTAATTCTTAAGAAAATATAACTAGAAAAAAAAATTCCACGCGGACCAGGCAGCAGACGGGACTCGAACCCGCACCCTTCGCAATCCGGGCGAATGCACTGACCAATTATGCTACCGCGGCCCTCACGGACCGCGTCGAAATTCTTTCTAGCTATTCTTAAGCTGCAAGGCAGCGCCATCTCTTCGCATTATAGGTAAACCCACAATGTCAAATGAATACTTTTACAAGTATTAAACATTTGAAAGAAGAAATAGCAATTATAGTTATAATTTTTATTATTTTTAAAGCATGTAACTGCTTGATGTTTAAATCTAAAGAAAATATAACTAGAAAAAAAAAAAAAAAAAGATTTTCTTTAGATTTAAACATCAAGCAGTTACATGCTTTAAAAATAATAAAAATTATAACTATAATTGCTATTTCTTCTTTCAAATGTTTAATACTTGTAAAAGTATTCATTTGACATTGTGGGTTTACCTATAATGCGAAGAGATGGCGCTGCCTTGCAGCTTAAGAATAGCTAGAAAGAATTTCGACGCGGTCCGTGAGGGCCGCGGTAGCATAATTGGTCAGTGCATTCGCCCGGATTGCGAAGGGTGCGGGTTCGAGTCCCGTCTGCTGCCTGGTCCGCGTGGAATTTTTTTCTAGTTATATTTTCTTTAGATTTAAACATCAAGCAGTTACATGCTTTAAAAATAATAAAAATTATAATTAATTCTTCATTAATAATTCTTATTAAAAAATAATGAACAAAAATATTTACAAAGAATAAGAAAATTTATTTAAATTCAAAATAGGGAACCCTTCTACTACAAAGGCGATGTTCTTGGCTGTATCATTTCGGTGGTCAGTTTTTTTACCATTTCGGTAGTCAATTTTCATTTCAGTGGACTGCCGAAAACTCATGCTTAAATATTTCAGTAAGTGGTGATTGTTGAATTTGACCCGTAGGATCGTTTAAAAATGGAAAAAAAACCATTAACAATATATTTTCTTTTTTTGTTTTGCACCTTTAATTGCATTTTGTGCAAAAACTATGGGAGATACGCAAAAATATGTTGATACCTTTTTTGTAGGAAATTAAATTTTCTACAACTTTGTACTAGGAACTTTTTCTATTTTTCCAGCCAGTCGCGAGATATTGCCGAAAAACTCGTTTTTGCACCATTTCGCTTTTTTTTTCACCCTTTGCCGTCAATGCAGCACCCTGCAATTTTAGTATATTAATCTACGAACCCTTGCGGAAATTTTCGCGTTGGTTGCAGGTGATCAACTCAAAATGGCAAAGTTAAGCCTTCATTGACTGGACTAATAACTCGCATTGTTACCGATACTCTGTAAACCTCACAAGAGCCAGAGTTTGTAAATGAATTTCGGGCAATATAATATAGTAAAGTATAGAAAAATAGAGTGTAGTGTAATATTATTAAATGTTCCAAAAATCCTTACTGAAACATGTACTTACTTAATTATATTTATTTCTATCATTAATCCGGACGCGAATTCTCGATTGTGATTTTGATCTTCGTTAACCTAATGCCTCTGATTATTCGACTATGTGGCTATCACTTTTGAAATTGCTATTTTACAAGTCTTACAAAGTAAAACTATGTTATTCAGAAATTTAGGTACTTACAATTATCACTTTGCTTTGATATTGATCTTATGAAATCACATTTCTTGCTAATACCATAAAACATGGACGCGATGGTTAGGTAGGGGAATAACATGTATTATCCTTGTTGACTTTAGGTACCTACTTATGCAAGTATGGAAATTAATTATTAGGTTTTTCATTTCATTTGATAGAAGCTCGAGCAACATATATCAACAAAACATATACTTAGCGCTAACATATTAAGTTAAAAAATAAAACTGACATGAAGTACATAATGTTTCTTTTATTTATTCAATGTGGCTGCGGTCGAATGACGTTTGAAGTTGTTGAATCTATTTAAGGAAAACACAATGTCGATGTAATTTTATTAATTTTTAACGTAGGTCTACTACTGTCTAATTCAGAGGGCACTGATATTACTTTGTTGTTTTTTTAACAGAATCGGAACTGTATACGAGGATGTCACTGCAGATGTACTGGGCAAAGTTGGTGCTTGGCAATGGTTGGTTGTGTTACTTTGTTCAATGCTCACGTTGCCATCCCTGTTCCATGGGTACGAAGATATGCTCCTGTTAACTCATTCCGGTGAGGTGACCTGTATTCCACCAGAACGATATGAAGTGTACAACAATAGTTTATGTACTGTCGTGTCCATCGGTAATGATACTAACCAAATGAAATGCAACAGATGGCAAGCTAAGTTATTATGGTTGATTTGGCTGAAGAAATCGGTAAGTATGCGTTTAAGAGAAATCTTATAATTGATGCACTAATGATAAAAAAGATTTTTGATTGTATCTCTGATACTGTTATTGTTTTTTATTAGTGGCTCGTATTTTGTGAAAATAAAATAAAACACTTATCGGCAACAATGATATATCGAATGGGCTTGACGTTTGGATGTGTAATGTTCGGAGTTATTGCTGACAGGTATGCCTATTTATTGTATATTTTAAGGTAAAACCTTATTAATGTCCCCACTGCTAGAGCACAGGCTTTCCCTATGGATGGAATAGGGAGATGGCACCATAACCCACCACGCTGACCCAGTGCGGATTGGTGGGTGTTAACGACTGCAGATGCAGCCGAGACCAACGGCTTAATGTGCCTTCCGAAGCACGGAGGAGTTCGAGATAGTAAATTTTTGGTCATCCGTCCAATGACCGACTACTGCAAAAGTTGCTCAACTTCAACAACCGCAACCGAACGCGCCAACTAATTGCGCAATCGAGGTCCCCAAAACTTCGTCACTTTTGTTCATCTTTAGCAAGTCGCATTACTGTTCTTTGTTGTTATTAAAAATTCAGACCTTTGAACAAGCATCCTCGGTTTAGTGGAAGAGTGTTCGTCAGCCACGAGGGCGACCCGGGTTCGGTTCCCAGCCAAGGGAGGACTATGTTTTTATTTCCTAGTTTTTATAAGCCGAAGTAACATCAACTTGGAATAATTTTCGGAAAATTTTCATTTCATTGCTTACGATCCAAAATAAAAATGCGTCGATGTAACACTTTAAAAGTTTCACCTGCATCGCGGTTTTTTAAGCTTTGTTTTCGAGTCCACTTATATAAGTTCATTACCTGATATTTTTGTTTTGCTGTTCAACAAAAAAGAGGCTCGAGTTGGTAATCCACATACCAGGTATGAATGTAAACTTTTTAGCTTTATATATTGTATTGTATTTTTTTAACTGGTAGTAAAACTAAAAAATGTTGATTCCTAAGGTAAGTCGTTAGTCTCAATATACCAATATTTCCAATATACCTGTGTAAAAATGTTATTAAACAGAAGAAAGCAGGGTTGGCAATGTTTAAAAGTAAATAAAAAAATACATAGTTGCATTTAAACACGTTTTAAAACATATTATAGATAAAACATTAAGATTAACAACATTATGATTAATCTTAATTAATATTTCTCTTATTAAAAAAAATAAGTAACTAAATTTTTAGGTACCTAACTGCCTAACTATATTCTGTAAATTGTGATCGCATTTCCGATTGATGGGGATTACCCGAGCAAAATACAATAAGTGCACGAATGAATTAATGAATAAGACCAGTGGTCCCGGTCCCAAATCACTACCGACTCAATTACGAGTCGAGTCTACTTATATTGCGGGGATTTTTCTTGTTGCTATTGTTAGATTATTTAGTCACAAAAGAATTCAACTTTTAAGGTATTTAAAACATTTCATTAAATTGATTTAAAACTTGTTTTTTGTGTTTTTTATTTTAAACATGATGTTTTGTTCTTTAAAAAAAAAACAGCTTTTTTTCAAACCCTGTCAGTAAGTAATGTGAAAGTAAAAGCATTAGTGTAATAGTAGTATTAGTAATTTAACTCATAAAATTTCAGTGTTGGAAGAAGAACCGCTTTAATGGTGGAGGTGTTTGCTCAACTGTTTCTAGGATCAATATTGACATTCTGCGACTCCCTAGCCTGGTTCCAATTGCTCGTGTTCCTGAAGTCATTGTTTGGTGGCGCTAACTTTTTTGTTGGAATCATTTTAGGTAAGTAGGTGGTACTTATAATTATTTTATTATATTATTGTTTAAATAGGTATTTAATTGCCCGATGATTTCAAATATGAAGTAAAGTTTAACTATCTGGCTGACAATTCACCCGGGCTTCATATCGAAACAGCTTTCATCATGGTTTCATTTTAGCCAAATATCTAACATGGGTTTTTAATCTTGTGAAAACTATGGAATCCTTTGTCGACTTTTCTGTTCCCTGATACATCCATATTGGTCTATTCAAATTGCGAGAAAATAGGTTTCTCCTTGGCAAGCGTTCTTCTTCGTCGTTTCACTAGACAACACATTTCACCAGCGACCTCCAGGCCGTTCTGTGTTCTGCAAGACGGATGGATGCCTGCAAGTTGCCATTCATGGTTTCCTCAACCATGTCTAACCGCCGGGATGGAGACCTGCTCCTTTTTCCTTCTACGTTTTGCACGACCAGGGGCTTCTCAAAATTATCTGGGTTCCTCCTCGCCACGTGTCCAAAGTACTTTAGGAGGCGCTGCATGCAGATAAGAGAGAGACGCGTCTTGATATCCAGCTCCTTCAGGATAGATGCATTAGTTCTTCGTGCAGTCCAAGGTATGCGTAGCATTCTGCGCCAACACCACATTTTAAATGCATCAATCCTGGAACGGACCCATGCGTTCAACGTCCAGGTCTCCGAAACATACAAAAAAACCGAGAAGAACAGGGCACGCATCAGCCGTACTATCGTTGATTTAGTGATTCCTCTGTTCTTCCAGATCCTCTCTAAGCGCTTCACAGCAGCCTTTGCCATCTGTCCACGCCTGACCATTTTCGCCTCGCAGTCATCGTCATTGCGTATAAGTGATCCCAGATAGACAAAACTGGTAACTGTATCTAAATCACTCCGCTTGAATGTTCCTGATAACTTGTTAGCTTTATCAACAAACATTACCTTGCTTTTGTCGCGGTTTATACAAAGACCACATTTCACGCTGACGTCTTGAACTTTGCGCAGTAGGAGAGCCAGTTCTAGTTCGTTGGCACCTATTATAGTCGTGTCATCGGCGAAACGTAGGTTGATCTCCAATTCGAATACCACCATTCCAGTCCTCGAGTACTCTGCGCATTATGTACTCACCTACTAGGTTGAACAACTGCAGTGAGAGTATGCATCACTGGCGCACACCTCGAGAAGGCTTAAAGGAGTTGGAGATATAACCTTCTATACTCACCCTGCCCTTGCCGGTAAGGTATAAATTCTGCACCAAGAAGACCAAGGTACGTCCATCTCCACAATCACCGCCGCTTTTGCGTAATCAATAAAGCATAACACCATTGGAACGTTGATTTCACGGCTTTTTTCGATTAACTGCCTCATCACACTAACATTATAAAGGCGAAAATTTGTGAATGTGTATGTTTGTTCCATCTTCACGTCTAAACGGCTGGAGCGATTTTAATAAAATTTAGTATGGAGTTAGCTGACACCCTGGATTAACACACACAACACATAGGCTACGTTTTACTGTGGGAAAATATCCCTAATAAACCGCGGGTAACACCGCGGGACACAGCTATTATTAAATATCTGTTCGTGAGTACCCTTGCCCTTGACGAATCCAGCCTGTTTTCTCGCTATTTGCCTACCGATATAATGTTCTAGCCGTTCTGAGGATATGTAGCAACACCTTACTGGCGTGGGAAGATCAGTGAAATGATTCGGTAATTTGAACATTTGCGGGTTGAGCCTTTATTAAGCAGCGGAATAACTACTGATACTGTCCAGTACTCTGGCCAAGTCCGGTATCCCACATTTTTTGTCTTATATTGTGTAATGCTTTGATGCCAGCTGTACCTAAAGCCCTTGATCATTTGCGCGGTGATTCCGTCGCCACCAGACGTTTTTAGTTTCAGTTTGTCTATTGCGTTTTCAACTTCGCGCAACATTATATGAGGTTCCCTGTCAGCATCGTTATATTCAATCTCGTATTGATTGTTGAAATCGCCGCTGGAGACAAGCGTACTCCATCGCTTTCCTTAAGGCGATCTTTGGCCGATTTATTTTTATTTATTTATTGTTTAAGATAGCCTAAGTATAGATAGTTACTAAAACCTCTTAAGATAAATACTTATTAAAATAAAATGATGCATGTTATAGTGTGGTATCGAAATATAATATTTACCAACTAAAAAATAATGGGGAAATTAAAAACTTTTGTAGACTATTCCATGTGTGGTAGCAGTTGAGTTTGTTTCACTGCATGCTTTAATATTCTACAGTAATCTTTGCTGATTATCACTCACTTAGTGGGCGCAAACAGTCCTACTTATTGAAATATTAACGCAAGTTATCTGCACGCCAAGGACTGCAAATTTCTTGAAATATGGAATCGGGTGACTATTAAATGATTGGTTAATGACATTTTTAATGCTTACCAAAAAGATTTTAGACAAAAAAAATAACTCAGTAGAGTCTCTGACCCAAACTGGCCGCCTTTAAGTTCTGAGGTCTCCCTAAATAAAAGCCTAAATAAAGGTCAATGTCAAATTTTAATTACCGACGACGACGACGAATCTTCTTTGTATTTATCGGGTACCTCCATAAATTAACTCTCTGCTGGTATAAGGTATTATCGGCCAGGAAAACCTTTATTTTAAAAAGGTTCCGGAAACAATACCAGTCAAGCTGATTAGATACAAGTGATGTAGGTATATCCACTATGCCGAGCCCATGATGATGGATTAGCACATAAAAGCTGTAAACAATTTAATTAATTAAATTAATAGTCGCTTTATTCTTTTCACAGCGTGTGAGGTGGCGAGCAATGAGTGGCGATCACGTTTTAATACGATTGTCTCCTCATCTCGACTAACTGCCATTATTTGTATGGTGCCTTTGGCCAATTCTGTGCCGAATTTGGAAACTCTTAGTTGTATTGCTACTCTCTACACGTTCTTACTCGTGATAATTCTAAGGTAAAATACTTCGTTTAACATTAATTTACTTTTAGCTAGTCTCGTTTCAATTTAACTTAATTTTAGTACATCGTCGCTAAGTATACATTAATGTAACTCACTGTCATTATTTTAATATATAATGTGATTGATAGGTATGCTTAATGTATGCGCAAACAGGGAACTAAGTATAGTTCAATCTCGAAATACATACACAGTCAGGTCATAAGTATTGTCACACAGTAAAAACTTTTCTTTTAGAATGCTGGCCACAAAAAAGTTAATAGAATTCGAATTTCGAATTGTTCATAAAAATAAAAATGTATACTTTTTAGAATTTTACTCATTTTTAAATATGGAGTGGACGCTTAAAGAAGACCGTGTTGCAGTTATTGCGTTGCATCGTTGCGGTTACGCGCCAATTAAAATTTTTGACATACTGAAAATTTTGAATATAACCAATAGATTCGTTTATCGTACCATCAAACGATACAATGAAGACTCTAGTGTAGATGACAGGTCAAGGACTGGTCGCCCTCGGTCTGTTAGGACTCCAGCAGTGATAAAAGCTGTGAAGGCGCGAATTCAAAAAAAATCCCAAACGTAAGCAGAAATTGTTGGCCCTTCAGATGGGGTTAAGCAGAAACCACGGTGAAAAGGGTGTTGAATGAAGATTTAGGGCTTCGGGCGTATCGAAGAAAAACGGGACATCGTTTGAATGCTCGTCTGATACCTGAGACTGAAGAGATGCCGCGCTTTGTTGAAGCGGTACGCGGGAAAAAAATATCGGGAAATTCTTTTTTCGGATGAAAAAATTTTTACCGTAGAAGAAAGCTACAACAAACAAAATGATAAGGTGTACGTACACAGTAGTGAAGAAGCGAGTAACCGTATTCCGCGTGTCCAACGAGGTCATTTTCCATCCTCGCTCATGGTATGGTTGGGAGCTTAACAGAGGTACATTTTTGTGAGAAAAGTGTAAAAACGAATGCAGTTGTGTATCAAAATACAGTCCTGACGAACCTTGTGGAACCTGTTTCTCATACCATGTTCAATAACAGGCACTGGGTATTCCAACAAGATTCGGCGCCAGCTCATAGAGCGAAGAGCATACAAGACTGAAACTGTGAAATCGACCTCATCCGGCACGAAGACTGGCCCTCCTCCAGTCCAGATTTGAGTCCGTTAGATTACAAGATATGGCAGTACTTGGAGGAAAAGGCGTGCTCAAAGCCTCATCTGAATTTGGAGTCACTCAAGTAAAATTGTTTTAATTATTTTATATTAAACATATAACAGAATTTATGACCTGACTAGGTACATTAAGCAATCGTAGCACTGTGTCTATCTTGATTGCGAAAATGTTTGCGGTTTGATCAGATAACAAAGTTGAGTGAATGATAGTGACCTACCTAGTTACTAACCAAATATGAACGAAATATAAAAATACCCCATTTTAGATAATACATCGAGCCTGATACGCTAACCAAGTTGTTTACTTTTTCCAGAAAAATAAAAATCCTATCTTCTTTTATAGATTGTATAAAACTTAATCTCTATTTCCATTGGTTGACGACCTCCGAGTTCCTTAAGGTCCCAGGTTCGAATCCCGGTGGGGGCAGATGTTTGTGTGATGAATACGAGCATTTGTACTCCAGTCACGGATGTTTAATTTGTATTTCTATAAATATATATTTATATATGTATTAGTATAGGTAATCTATCCGTTACCCTACTATCCCATAACACAAGCCTATATACCGTGCTTACTTTGGAGCTAGGCTAATTGGTGTAAGTGTTGGAAATACATAATTATGTATAATAATTATCGGTCACGCTATAACTTAAGAACGACCTGATTTATATTTATTCCATCTATTATTTTCAAGGTTTTTAACACTTTCTAAAAGGCTACGAAAGGAGAAAGTTCCTTGAAGCTAAAGTAAAAACGCGGACGGAAATAAGTTTCGATAAAATCAAGCAATTGCTTACCTATGGTTGTTTAGGAGTAGGTCGTTGAAGTGTTTTTAAATTTTTACTTAAACATTCTTCTTCAACCTTTTACGGTGTAAAAATCGTTGAGAAAAGTAAGAGTTCGCATGGTGATAGATATGCAAATTGAACCTAAAATGACGCACACTATCTACGTTCTTCCCTTTCGGAAATACGTATACTTGTCTGGCCGATACGATATTTTTTGTAACTTTTTAAGAAGTTCATTAATAACTTCCAATATCCAAATGTTCAGGTAGGTACAATCACTATTCACTGATAACAATTCTCCAAAGCTACTTTTACCACGAGTCCACTTTAAATTAAAAAACAAACATACATAAAATATAAAGTATGAAGTTCATTAGTTCCAACTCTCTTTCATTTATTTAGATCCAAGCTTCTAACCCTATAAAAGAAGATAGGCTCTTAACAAACTCTATACTTTAGTCAAAATATGTGGCTTGGCCATTTCGTTACTACAAGAACTATTGTATAACTGAAAAGTAATGAACAGTGGAGAAGTTTTTCACCTTACGCCCATGGGAATGTAGCGAAATGGCCAAGCCACTTATTTTGTCTAAGGTGAAGAGTTTGTGAAGTTAGGCCTTGTAGAGTTAATTAGAAACTTGGCTCTACAAGAGATCTGATAACTTTTTGATAGTGCGAGTCATATGGAATGAAAATGTTTTAGGTGGTATTTCTTTGTTCGTATAGGAATCTTTGTCATAGATGGTAACGCGTGTAGTCCTCTGTAGGAAAGGGGAAGGTGGGAAAAGAGAGAATAATTCCTCCGAACACTCAACGTAGTGTACATACCTGTTACTATCGACCACCTGTAACGTTATTGTGATTGAGTAATATGCTATACATAAAAGCATCCAATTGTACCAAATTTTATTGATGCGGTCCATTTTCGTTCTTCAGTGAAATTGCTTACCTATTACGACTGTCAATGGTGGCCATTCGTCAGTTATCATCATTACGAGGGTGGGCCGTAAACTAGTTCGCCGCGCTTTTCACCTTCATCATCATGATCTCAGCCGTACGACGCCCACTGCCGAGCATAGGTTTCCCCCAAGGATCTCCACATTGATCGGTCCTGTGCCTGGTCCTACACATCCATCGGCTTCACGCGATCTTCACCAGATCATCGGTCCACCTGGTCTTCCCACCAAGCGTCGGCGCGTGGTCGCCATTCAAAAACCTTTCCGCACCAACAGCCTCTCAGTTCTCCTCGCTATGTGTTCCGCCTACTGCCACTTCAGGTGAGCAATCCTTCGAGCGATGTCGGTTACTTTAGTTCTGCGGATATCATCATTTCTGATTCATTCACGCAAGGAGATACCAAACATCGCTCTCTCCATTGCCCGCTGTGACCTTGAGCCTTCCTATACGACCCATAGTAACCCTTTTCACCGTAATATTGTGTTTTTTTGTTCAGATTATTGCCGGAATCACCACAGTGGTTGCTGTATAACAGGAAAATATTTGTAGCGGAGAAAATTTTATATCACGCGGCGAAGAAAAATGGACAAAAACTGTGCAGCCAATTCAAAATTAGACCTGTCAATCACAGAGTACGTCTGTAAGTTTGTAAAATGTTATTTAAACTTTCAATACAGGTACACGTGTAATATTAATCACATGCGAAGAATAGTTATATTATATTAAATTTACAGTTTTATTGCCCTAATATAAGTAAATATATATAAATAGTGTTAATTAAATATCTACCTGGGACTTATGATACGTTACAGGAAAAGAAAATAAGTAAATCATATGTTTTAAAACCCAAAGTAAAAACACTATTTACCTCAACTTTTCTTTCGTTTTCATACACTATTTTGAGGACAGTAGGTAGTACCAATCGCACCGTTCCAAACGGCTAAGGGTACTTATTTATTCTGAAAATGGTCTGTATGTATCATGTGAATATTCTTATAACATTATGTGCTTACATCGAGTTTGAGTCTGTTATATTTGTCAAAATGTGTTCATAGTAATCCAGTTTTGTGCTGCGTTCACTGGTTTATTTATCCAAACGGGAGCCTTCTAAAATGGGCTCTTAAGCTAAATAAATAAATTGGTTCATATAACTGAGTATTTAGACTGATATTTATCTGTAAATGATCTTCATGACGACTTGATTAATGTCCATTGCTTCAGAGACATGTGCAAGGATTTTTCAAGTCGCATTTTTGGCCAGCAGACAACTTCTAATATTTTTTCTTCTTTCAGGCTTACAATTCGTTAGACGAAACTCGGACTTGTGCTGAAATATTAATGACCTACAATATCAGAATCACGGTTTTAGTAACATTGCTGATGTGGTGGTTGTTTTGCTTCCAATGGAGCTATCTATACGTTAAAGTGTATAAAGGAAATGCGAAACAATTATTAACTACGTTGTTGTGCTTTATCGCTCTTTTTTGCGTCTTAACATACTTGTTATCGAAAAAGTTAATACTTCGACACTTGTTACTTATAAATATATTAATGTTTGGGACATCGTCTTCTTCAGAGATAGTATTCGGTCATGTAAGTATAATCAGTTAAGTACGTAAGTAGGTTGTATTTATTTGTAATCAAATTTTCTACAGAATTAGAGGATGGCAGTTGACGATTATCCTAAAACTTTTTTGGCTAAAAATAAAAATCGACTTCTTAAGAACAGAACCCACTAAAAAGTATTGAATAATACAATTTTTTACTTATAACTTAAGTACATTCAAAATTTTGGAGTCGGTGTCATGCCAACCCAAGCAGTAAACGGTAACTCTGATGTATCAAGATGCATGGCGCCGACTCCAAATTTTTAAATGTACTTTAGAAATAAGTAAATAATTGTATTATTTCCCACTTTTGGTGGGTTCAGTTTTTATACAGTCGGTTTTCAATTTGTTAATTAAGTTTTTTATTTTTCACTTTTTATAAGCCACAGTATCATCAACTTACTAAATATAGATGTCTGCATGGCCTGCAAACTCGTTTTTATATTTCGTAAATTATGTGTACTGTTATAATTTGAGGAGTTATGTTGTTTATCTCTTAAGTATTTATCAAATCTTCTCAAAATGAATATGAGACCATCTCACTAAGACACTCTTTCAAACAAAAAAAGAATCATCAGAATCTGTTTACTAACCTCGGAGATATGGGCCAAGGCAGTGTCACGGTAATATTATTATTAACGTGGAAGTGTCAAAAGGATCAGCAGGGAAATAAAAAAAGTTGTTTTTACAATCTACCGTCACTATTGTTTCCAAACAATACTTTCCTGTCCTGTCAGTCCTGGAGAACTAAATAATAGAACATCTGTAATCTGAGTTCAAGATCTTCATAATTTCCCAATTTGACATCTACTTAGTCCGATCAAAATAGATATTTCCAAGTACAACAAATCCGAAGGAGCTAAATTTTGGTAGAGTAGGTGGAGACCTTGGGTACACCATTAGAAATAAACTGTCAAAGTCCCGATCGATCTCATGTTGCAAAAAAGGCAAAAATCAATGGTCAATGTTTGAGATTTTTTGGATAGTTTTCGAAAACGGTAACTTTTGCCATAAAAGTAGCCTTGACAAAAAATCTAATTCACATTATCTACAAAAAAAGGTATTTTTTCCTAATTATTATAAGCACTCCTGAGATACCGCGATTAATTTTAAAAGTTGAATGAGTCACGTTCTAAAAAATATGCACAGATTTCCATACCAGGTCTGTGAGGTAGTCTACTTGCGTTTTGTTAATGTGGTTTGCCCGGTAAACCTACTACACAAGTTAAGATGAAGGAATTTTGAGAAACAATACACTTTTAGCTGCATGATGATTATTGTTATTGAATTATTGACTTTTACTGTACTTCTGAAGTACCTACTCTTCAAAGTCGACTTCAACAGTCATGTGTTCTTCGCATGCTTCTTCTACGTCTTTTTTTTCTAAATGGCTTCGCACGGCTTGTGCATTTAGCAAATGTCAAGAGTTGAAAATGTTTACAAATTCTATAGCACTCGTGGTCAAAGTATTATATCAAGTCAAAGTAAGTGGCAGTCAAGTCAACCCCCCTTTAACTATGTTTCAGTAAATGTGTGAGGATTTACTGGAACCTCCCCGTGGACCTCATGAGGGAACGTCGAAAGACACTCCGCTATTTTGTTTCACTTGCCAACGCTTGTGCATGTTCCCGAACACTTAGTGGTTAATAATCCACCATTATTAAACACTAACATCCGCCACAACACAATTTTTAACAAGAAAAACAAAACTGCTAAAGTAAGTAAGTAAACGCTTTCCGATCCCGCCAAAAAGTCCTTCTATTTCTTTCTCTTCTTTATCCTGGATATTCATAAATTTTTGATATAAAAGAGAATTAACCAATGACACATAATGTATAGACAGGTTATAGTCACAAATTATTTCATTTTTAAATGGCACAAGTAGTCTCCGCCCCAACTTCCCTTGGCAACAGCTGCCAACTGCCAATGGAGCACACTGAGGTAGTCTCTTTCACTCTCATGCATAAAGCAGATTACAACTCGCTCTTTAGCCTCCACGTGTCAACGGTGACAACAACTGTCAAAATAAGGAATCGCTAAATTTATTTACATTAATTTCTTTAAAACTATATTTAGAATGCAATGACACGTTTTTCTTGTCTCTAATAGTTCCCGTGTAATTTGTGTATTATCTAAAAGCACGCATAGGGCTTTTAAAATATTTACACGTCGCGCCTACACTTCGTAGGCGCGGCGAGAGCCCGACTGAATGCAAGCCAGGCATTTACCTGACTTTCGTATTGCCAAATTAGAAGTGTGTATGACGTATCTATAACTATAAAACAGCATAGGAATTAGCTGTCACTCCATTGAAATCATATGAGTCTTCGTCTGTTGTGTATTCAATTGGACATTTAAGCAAGACTGGCCTTGGCAATTAGTACTCGCTGGAAAACATAGTAACCCTGCTCTTCTACAGACTTTTTGGTAATTGCAAAAAATAGTGTTTAGGATTTTTCAGGAGCAGGTGAGAATAGTTTTGAAATTTGACCACTATTTTATGTTAATTTTGACTGGACTAATCGTTGAAATACATAAGATAACTCAAAATATACAATAGTGCTATTCTGTAAGAACAAACTCACTTTTCACCTCGGAATCCGCGATGTGATTTAAAATTAGAACACGAATTTCAATTAAATTTTTCCTTCACACCCGTCCGGCGATGAAAAGTGAGTTCTAAATAGCATTGCAGCATTCGTTTTTAAGGTAAACAGTTTAGTTTATTGAAATACAAATTACGCCTGTGGATCTGGATGCAATTTACTCCCATTCACGATTGCTATTTTTTACGCAAAGGCACTTGTCCAACAGCTGCATAGCAAGCATGCACGCACCACGGTAGAAGTAGTGTACTTTCCATTTATGAATGCGATTGAACTCGTAGTTTATAAAGCTACAATTTAGTTCAAATAATAGAGATATGCACATGGAATTTTTCCATGTGACCCTATGTGAGAATCAAACCCAGGTCATTGGTACATGCCTCGGTTATTTTACCATGTTTTATTATAAATATTTTCATCGTTGCTCGCTACTGCATCATTTCTGTTATTTAATCTTACATCCACGTCTAATTTACTAAACTTAACTTGTTTCAGATAATATCCCATTTGTTCTCATCAATAGCGTTATCGTCAGGCGTAATTGTGTACGCCCTTTTAATGAACATAACTCCTCGCCTATTCGCTATGAGATTAAGGGCCACTTTATTTGGTTGCTGTCATGCTGTTGGCCAACTGGGAACTATGATAAGCTACCTAGTGTTTGCCTTCTTACCACTAAACAACATGATATATGTGGCTGTAAACATGGCAGTCACGATGGCTTTAGCCACTCTGACATTCACACTAGTCGATGTCGATGGCCGGGAGCTGCCAGATTTGATTGAAGATATGGATTATTTCTCCGAGTATGTACCTGACTAAACTAATACTGATATAATGTATTAGTAGTCTGTGTCTTCAATCAGGAACTATTGGTAGTTACCATTAATTTAGCGGAGCCAAATTGTTCTTAATATTATTTGGTACTTATTGTTTTTTTATTATTTGCTTCGTTTCTTGTTTAAAAGATATAATAAGTAAACTGTGGTCCCGCCATTTTGACGGATACATAAAATCTAAGTACTTACCTAGGGAAACCTATACTAATGTTGGCCCCCCCTCCACAATGATTGGCCCTCTTGCATTTATAATAAAATAAAAGAAATGTGTGAATAAAACACTAACTAAACTGTACACGATGTCTTTTTCTTATTCTTTGATGGCAATTCTTCAATCTTCAGTAGTTACTTGACCGCTATAAATGGCAGTTTTTTGAAAAATCAAAGTTTGATTGTTGCCGGTCCGCTAATGCTACTAAAATGCAACCATTTTATTGAAGTCAGTCAATAAGAGATTTTCTAGCGCAATGTCTAAATTTTCGACATAATTACTAAGTTGTAACCACTGCATAACTGAAAAATGTATTTTATCAGAATTTTACCTAAAATTCAGGAAAACATCAACGTTTTGGTGTGCCATTCTTTAGTATAATCTCTAGTGGGAGTACAATCATTGGCACGAATGTTAATCACTAAAACGTAGGTATTTTATTTTTCTGCTTTTCGGTTTTTTTATGCTTATTATAATTCACATATTTTATCCGTTTTAGCATAATAGCACACAATCAACCATCGGTCGATAGCGCTTTTGGCCTGCGATTATTATCTCACAAAAACTTATTATCTCGAGTTCCTCCGTGCTTCTGCAGTCGTTAGCAACCAATCCACACCGGGCCCACGTAGTGGGTCACGGCCCAATCTCCCCATTCCATTGTAGGACATTAATAGGCTGGTGATAATGATGACACATATCAACTCGGTAAGAGATCGATACCGACTTAACACGGATTGGTTACTTTCTCTAGCGGAATGGTCATAGTGAGAATGGGCCCAGTACAGAATGGACCCAGTGTGGATTTACCCAGTGCAGAAGGGCCCAGTAAGGAATGGAACCAGTGCGAAATGAATCAGTGTGGATGGATTCAGTGCGGATTGGGTCCTGTGTGGATAGACCCAGAGCGGAATAGCCCAGGGTGGAATGAAACAGCTGCGGAATAGGCCTAGTGTGGGCAGGCCCAGTGCGGAATGGGCCCGCTGCGGAATGGACCCAGAGCGGAATGGTCCCAGTGAAGACGCTTCTGTTCCATCACACACCAAAAAAAATTTAAACTAAGTCCATAACCACCGCCCTCACCAGACACAACAAGCCGGACTGGAGAAATCCTCGGTGGACATTCTTTTCAAGGTTGAGGAACTTTTGTCCTCCGCGGACAAAAGTCCATCGTCTGCACACACTACTAAACATACCTACGTATCTTAAACGTAGATATATATAAAAGAATTAAAAAATATCCAGAGGGCCAATCACTATACATTTGAAACTTTTTCTGTTGATTTTGAAATATTTTAATGCATAGCAATATACTTAGAGCTGTTTTAAGTGTTCTTATTTTGTCTATCAAACCTCACTTAACAGCATTGTGGAACTACCTACATTCAATCGAAAACATAATTAATTTACTATAGATAAACAAATGAAGAATTCCGCCTAAGGGGCCAATGATTACATAATCTGTCCTATTTACCTACCTTTATTTGTATAGAGGTTAGGGTCTTAATTGGTGTTTTGTTAAGGCAATAAAGACATTCGCAGTCATTAATCAAAGGAGATTGCTCAAATTGGCCTAAATGCACAAAAAATATTGACATACACGGTAATTCTTGGCGTAATTTATAATTTAATTTAGAGTCATTAGATTTCAACGGACACCTTTGTATCATATATTTACTTTAAAGAGGACTTTTAATTTTACAGGTTTGGAAAACATACGAATAATTTTTAATGGCTATGGATGTAGTAACATACAGCCAAAGACTGATCGAAGTTGTTTATATAACATAAAAATAAATCTATTTTGTAAAGATGGATAAAAAAAAACATATTTTTTATTACACTGCGGTATTAATATCCACAACTATATTATCATTTCCACTAGATGCAAATGTGCTCAGACAATTATTATAGATGGTAGGCGACATCATAAAGTCTATTACCATACATTTTTCGCCAAACACCTCCTTAAGCACATTATAATCTGTATATAATATATATATATATATATATATATATATATGTTAGAGTTTAAGGTATCTATCTATGGGCCTACGTTCCCTGACTATAAATTAATAATTAAATAAAATTATAAGGTGTGATACACTAAAAGTCTCAAATATGGTTATCTTAAAACATAACAAAAATAATGAAGCTACTGAATATATGGCTATAGAACCTAAATCTCTTAGCTTTCTTTGGTTAACGAGAGTTTAAAAATTCTTTCTAATCTTGGCTCATTCACAATCATCACACAGTTTCTGTCACAGAGTACCTTATTATAACCGGAAATGACACCTGATTTTAAAAGTTACTCTTATGCATTAACTTTAAAAACAGGCAACTATCTGTTAATCTACATGCTCTATATACCTGAATCTAATCCATAATTTCGGTACTTGGCTTGATTTCCCTAGTTTACTATATAACTTATTTGTTTTTTATTAATTTAATATGTTCAGTGTATATGGTTTATAGAAGTTCTCAGGGGTGTCCGTCAATAATATTCGTGTCTACAGTAATTTATATATAATTTCGAATCTAAGAAACAATTTTTCATGATTATTGGTCTTTAGGCCAAACATGTATGGAAGCTGAGCAATCTCCTTTACCTATCATGTCATAGTTCATTCTCCTTAATAAAAAAGTTAATTAAATAGCAACAATTTGTCTTTAACAAAGAACGCAGTGCAGACATAGTTACCCATGAGTCTAAGGTTGCCAACTTTTATAAAAAAATACTGATATTAAAGGAGGTAAATGAAGAGTAGGTACGGCCTTATAAAAAAGAGTATCATTCTTCAAAAATTTCTAAAGGTAGGTAGGTATGTTTTGGTATTTTTGCAGCACATAACAATTTTTCATTGTTTTTGAAAGATTGGCAATAGTACAGTTATCATTTTAAAAAATAGTAGTTTAGCGTCCTCTATTATTGTTATAGATTACAGAGTACGCCTACAATACTCTATTTTAGATTAAAGTTGGCAACCCTACATGAGTCCCATGATGCGCTAAAATCAACCAAACCATAGAAGACCGTCGCGTCGCCGTCGTAGACAACCACCTGCTTCTTAGATCTAGCTTACTCTCTCTCCTAGGTTCGAATCCCGGTGGGGGCTAATATTTGTATTACGATGACTAGCATTTTGTATTTGATACATGGCTATTTATTATACTTACTCATATTTATAAAAAAATACTTTTTTTATTTATTTCTACCCTATAATACGAGTCTTACCAGTGCCTGGGACTAAGCTAACTGAAGTGAATGTAAGAAATATCTATTTAGTTATCTCTATAAGAAACATATTACATTTATTATATAACATGACCGTGACATGGCGCGTTGCTGTATGAACCAAACCTAATAAGTATTTAAAGTTACGATACCACTTTATTCCCAACGAATTAATCAATCAATGGGTCGTTAAATAGTAGCTGGAACACTGAAGTCGCTGAAGTGGGAGTGGTGTGTGGGTAGGTGCAGTCATAAACATTATCGCGACTGCTATAAAGTTTGCGACACAGATAGAGCTTTACGACTTTTTCAATTTCACAAACGTTTTGCAGATTATCGAAACCCATTCGTTGGGCAACACAAAAGACAAATTCTCCGTCCCACGAAGAAGTCCAAATTCGGATTTATTCGTTTGGAAGCGGAAGCGCACCGGATCGAGACTCACAGAATTCGCAGTCGCATCAACGCACGCCGGCAAGACAAATTGGATTCGTAAAGTTTTGGAGACGGGTCACTGAAAGATTACAACGAATGTTCCGAACTAATAAGTAAGCACCAACTAACATGGCGAGAACGTGAAAGGAGCCTTAATAGACATTCAATAAAAACTGTCACATTTTGATGTAATGTAAACCCTAAACAATTAATGAATAATAAACACGAACACTCAACAGCGTTTCATTCACGATCCACGAAATTATCCACAGCTTAAAGAAATCTTGAATTTGTGACAGGAAAAAAATATGTTGAACTCTTCAAAAAAAGTTTTAAACTTCTGGGCTACGGGTTTTATATTTTTTTTATATGGAAGTAAAGTTCAGTCTGTCCTGCCAGCGATTATGCGATGCGGGCTGCGGCAATAAAATTTTACGGTCCAGCCTAGACCTGGACCCCTGGGGGGCAATCGCCTTAAATGAATGGCTATGGCTATCGCTATCGCTTACGTATTCATTTTTATATTTCGCAGCGCCGAAGGTTTTCGAATGCTCCGCGCTCTTTTTTTTCTCTTACATTGGTAACAATCATATCAAACAAAATGAGAGTAAGCTATTTGAAAACCTTCGGCAGTCAGAACTAACAAAATAAAATAGTAAGCTATAGCGATAGTCATAGCAAATCCGTTAGGCGATTGATCCCCTGGTGCCTTGGAAGCTTACTCACCAACACAATCTACCTACTATAAAATCATATATATTATATCCAAAATATATCACGGTGTATTGTTTTAAACTTTCATAGTAATTTATGTTATTTACGGGATTGTTACCATGTACCTTGTTTTAGCGAGTTTCCGATATTTCGGCACTGTTACAAGCGCCATGCTCACAGAGCAACTGAAGTAATGAGGAATGTTCATAGGTACGTAAAATCACTTGAAACTTCGTCACAGTGAAGTTTTTATATATCCATATACACTACTTTTTGTTTTATTTAAAAATACCAAGTACTTTTGATTTTACAAGCATTCAAAGTTCGCGTAAATTTGTTGCTCCGCTAAAAGTCATTAAACCCCGGATGACGTCATTTTCCAACGCTCCCTGTGCAGTCCGCGCCCAGCTGTAGCAGTGAATAGGTCCCGCAGTGTTTTCTACTCTTTCTCCGCTTCTAGCTGTGTGAATTGTTATAACTATGGATGAAGGCTTCAATAAAGGACAATCGGATAACCTACCTAAAATAGATGGACTTATGGTTGCTCATTATTTAGCAGTAAATAATGATTTCTTTGCCGTCGAAATGAGAGGCGTCAAAATGCAAAGGTAAGTTACCCTTCTTTTATTATAACTCTTTCGAAAATTGGTAATATTTGTTCTATATTGTTTTATTTATCGAATATAGGTACTTAACCTAACTTTTTTTTATCGTAATGCTTGCTAGGTATCAAACCGTTTTAATTTTAATTTGTACAGTGTTATTATAACATAAAACTCTAAAAACTAGGATAAATTAAGAGGACTAGGATATAGGAGGCTAAAGTTAAAGACGTATCTAGAGATATATGTTTACTTATTCTAAATCCGGAACAGATGTAGGTACTAAATCTTTTTTTATTCAATGACGAAGAGCTCTTGGTTCAGTGGTAGTTAACGCTGCCTAGAAATCGAGGGTCGCGGGTACAAACATTTGTGTCCATGAACATGGATGTTTGTATCGGTCTTGGTGTTAACATTTTTTGTTTATAAATTTTTCAGATCGGCAAGA